TATATCTATACTTACATCGAAAATTAACAATGAAGGTCGGTTGTAAACAGAACATTACGACTAAAGTGATGATTTCAGTTTCTTAATTGTGAATTTTCCATTTCTATGTAGCAATATTCCAACAGCGCCTACATATGGAGTATATATCATAGATGATCCGTTATACAGAGCTTACGTTTCCTATTAAGATTTACTTGATAGAGGGTTGCTGCTTACAATCAGTATTATGCACAGCAAAAAACACACAAAAATCAAAGGAAAAGCGCTTTGTCTTTTTGTCGTCTTAGTTTTTTTTTTTGGCATATTTGTTCCGTCTCTCATTTGCCGAAATTATATATGGTCCTCTTTCCTTAAAACAAATACTTAAAAATGTATTAACTGTCAGCTTAAGTGTTTGGCTATACTTTACGTCCTTTTTGGTTTATCAGTTCTTTAATTTGTATAAGTTTTGGTTTTCAAATGTTTTGGCCTGGAGCATCATTTATGAGAAATTTACCATCGAAATGCCAATCTGGTGCAGTTAATGTTATTAAACGGTGAGTACTGAGCATCTTAAAGTAAAAGCAATTATAATAACAGTTTGAGAAAGTTAAGCCTGAAACAATAATGCTAATGTTGAAAATCATTATGTTCTCCCCAAACCCATTAATTCAGCAAACTTGATAATTTCAATGTAATAATTCTACAAGTTAATACAGGAAAGTCCTACATATGAATTGAAATTCAAAGGTATTCTTAAAAATTATCTAAATTAGATTTGTATTTTGACAGTGTTAGATTATTTAATACTCATTTACCTTTTCTATATCAGATAAGTACTGTATTATCACCTGATAAGATCAGAATGATATTGGATAAGCAGTCATCACACTTATATTTAAACTTTATCTATTTTCAGGAAGGTAATTGTTTTAAGTTAACTAGTTAATCTAATCTTTCTGTTTAAGGAAGACAGCTATACGGCTGTTCATTTTCAAGATCAATATACAATTGTTTTGTCTGTGCATGTTTGATTGATTTGTCTGAATAAGATGGTCTTAAGCCGGTTTATTGATTTTTCTACGGGTGTTGTTGGGTCACAATAGATAACCTTTACAACAAATGAAAATTCAGTGTAAGTCAAAACTTTAACAATGCTTCGGGAAACCTCATTGGATCAGGCAATGAATGGTATGTTGGGGTGGGGATATACGGGGTATTATCATGATAGATTTCTATAATATCGGTAAATTTTTCATTTCTTTTAACACGAACATTGTACATTACTCTTCATGACAAAAAAAACACCATAAAACGACATTTGTTTCAAGTCATCAAGGACATCTAACAAACCATATAAATAATTTCAAACATGTATCTGTTAAACATTAACTTCAAGTCAATGTAGTATTTGACACCTTACGACTTTTTTACAATTAAGTGGCTTGTCTTACTTCGACCATGATTTTGAGTTTCCTCTTATATCTCTGATCTCCCATTAGAGCATCATCCTTCTTCTATATTCAGTTTTGAACTTCTAATTCTAAGCGCCTTCTAGTAAAAAAAATAATAAGTATAAATATTGGAAGACTAGATTATCTATTAAAAATCGTTGATTTGTCCACCTTTTCTCATCCATGAATGTGCTTGATTTTAACAAAAGCCAGCGTCATATGCATGTTGAACACGTACTTTCAATTTTCTGAAAACCAATTCGAACCTGCTTACCGTTTTAGAAAGGTATTTTCAAATCTTGAATCTACTATCTGGAAAGATTACTCATCTTTGTCATTTCGATTTTGACTTTGATTTGTTGACCCTTCGATTAAATGTTGATTATATTTAAACAGATTTGACTGGATTCACCTTTTTCCATATTGTAATTTTTTAACCAGACATTTTTCGGTTGACTATGGATGATGTCTGCACAATATCTCTGACATGTTCCGGATCAGTGTAGCACAAAAATAAGGATCTAGACTATCGTAATGGTTTATTGTGGTATACAATAAATGTTTTAACAAGTAATCATTGCACTGATATGTTAACATATTGGCGCCTGAAGTAATTTGAAACATGTCAAACATGTTACGCTTTTTTATGTTTACTGTGATTATTTGAGCAACTTTGCATGATACAAATGCACATGCTGCCGATAAGCTGATATATTACTCAGAACGTCAGTACGAATACCTGATAATTTACATATAGATTGCATCGGAAATGTTTGAAAACTTCTCAACAATTGTAAAAATTTCGTTCGTTAATGTTTGTAATTGGCACAAAGAATGATATCCACATCAGTTTGATTTTATATGAACTTCCTAAGTGCATCTGAATTTCGTTGACCTTGCTATATATACACTTTCTCCAAAATCAATTGGGTGATTGATCATCGGTTGTCAAAACGTTAAGCAAGACATTATTATTTACAAGAACTCAAATGATCGTTAGCCATCATTAATTACATTATGTGTTTTACAGAAAGAAAGATGGCTGTTGTGGCCATTTAGTAAAGAGTTACTAAGTGAATTATATCTGCTCTACTTATAAAATGTTTGTTCTTATCTTGTGATCAAAACATTACAGAAAATTAAATTTATAATTGCTATTGTATTTTGACTCGATGAATATAACAAAGAGCATATTGTTTTGTTCGGAATTACATTATTAAATGACACATAAATACTTTGTAAAATCATATTAGAATATTTCATTGGTGTAAAACATCAAATCTTGGGAAGTACACTTCAAATGGCACCATTGAAAACGTTGAATCAACAGCCGATTTTATTCATGTACAATAAGTTACTAGTAATCTACAAAATCATGAAACCATAAGAAAACACAATATCATTGAGCACGACGTCGTCACTTTTTCTTACACTTGAACATTTTTACAATAAAACAAAACAAAAAAAACTGCAATTTAAAAACAGGGATGTTTTTATGAACATATTGATATCCTTGAGGATTCGGATGTTACTCACTGTTAATGACACAGAAATGCCTGCAATCATATTTTCTGTAAAACATTTTAGATTTGTGTGAAATAATTTCACACTTGAGCACAAACAAAAATAAGCAGACTATTTTTACAATCCCCTGTTGGTACGTAGACATAAACAAGTATGTAAAATAACGAATCAATCATAGTTATTTCAGATTCCTATTAGTTTATGTTCTAATCATATTGATCATTTTAGATCGACCTTTTTTGTTCACTTATTTTGTTTTCTTTCTTGTATCCCAATAGAAAACAAAGTATGTTATATGTTTTCATAAATGTTAATGTCTTATAGTAGATGTTGGTATCTCAGAGCAAAACTACAGAAATAGCAATATACAATAATATACAATAATCCCTACCATGTTTCAAGATCTATATGCCAGAGTTAAGATATCTATTAGCCCGTGTTTAGACCTAAACAATCCTGAGTTTATAAATTCAATGGCCCGAGTGTAGACATTCAAAGACCTGAGTTTAGACATTGAATAGCCTAAATTTAGACAATCAAAGACCTCAGTTTAGACATTCAATAGGTAAATTCTTCCTTCTTCCTATCTCGAGTATTGGCATAACAAAATATATGGTTGAAGAAAACGTTTTACTCTTAAACTATCGATATTACAGCCTGTAGTTCAGTGGTTGTCGTTGGTTCAGGTCTGTCATATTTGTTTTTCGTAAATTGTTTTGTTATAAATTAGGCCGTTAGTTTTCGCTATTGAATTGTTTCTTATTTTTCATGTCGGGGCCTTTTATAGCCGACTACACGGTATGGGTTTTTCTCATTGTTAAAGGCCGCACTGCTGCCTATAATTGCTTACATCCACTTCATTTGAACTTGGATAGTTGTCTCATTGGCGATCATACCACATCTCCTTATTTTTTATAAAGGATGTATTTCATAAAATGAGGATATGTGGTCTGTCAATGAGACAACTCTCCGCCTAAGTTTAACTGTTCAATGATGGTCTATATAAAAATAAGGAGATGTTGTTTTATTATTGTTTAAATAACTATTAACCAAAAACAAAGGGACAATGATGTTAACAAGTCCATGTCGCCGTAGGGTATTATAACAAGCCTCAATTGATATTTTCACTATAAAACCTGTTACAATCATGAATTGGTCGATAGTTACCAGGTGAGTGTGAAAAAATGACTACAGCTGTCTTGCCTAATGATTTTACCGCTATTGTTCCTTGCATGACCGCCTGACAATACGACATGATTCACAAACAAAACAGCTAATGCTAACCCTTCCGGAGAAACGCTTGTTTTGAATGAACAGATGAAAACTTTTATATTAAGTGCTTGCTGTTCGTAATTTTCTTTCCACGTTTGTCTATATATCGATCACCTTGTTTCAGTTTAACATTATCCTCTTGGCTTAGATTTTTTATCCCTTTTAACATGGAAAAGGAGGGATATGGTGTACCACCAATGTATATGACACAAAAGTCCCTATAAACATTTGACAGCAAGGGAATAATACCTCCATTATAACTGTATCTCTCTACCTGTCTTTTTTTTAACTTTTGTTTTACAACGTGAGTACAGTTTGCTTATTTTACGTTTGTTTTACAATGTAATTACAGTTTGCTTATTTTACGCTTGTTTTACAATGTAATTACAGTTTGCTTATTTTACGTTTGTTTTACAATGTAATTACAGTTTGCTTATTTTACGCTTGTTTTACAATGAAATTACAGTTTCCTTATTTTACGTTTGTTGTACAATGTAATTACAGTTTCCTTATTTTACTTTTGTATTACAATGTAATTACAGTTTCCTTATTTTACGTTTGTTTTACAATGTAATTATAGTTTCCTTATTTTACTTTTGTTTTACAATGTAATTACAGTTTCCTTTGTTTAAGTTTGTTTTACAATTGTAATTACAGTTTCCTTAGTTTACGTTTGTTTTACAATTGTAATTACAGTTTGTTTTATTTTTGTTCTCATATCAATTACAGTTTTTTTATCATCACATTTATTAGGAATTTATTCCTTTTCAGGTTCCTGTACCACAAAGTGATTATTATAAGTATGACGACCAGTCTTCAGAAAACGGAGGAATTTCAACACGTTATACCGGAAAATTAAGTACTGGTGGTAATGGAGAAAGTTGTGACAATCAATTCCTTAAAGTTTTACATAAGGTTAACCAAACTATTGAAAGGAATGAAGTTAGACTGGCGGAACAAGATAGACGGGACTATATCAGACAAGAATGGCAACAGTTAGCTTTAGTCATAGACCGAATGTTAATGTTTATTTTTATTTTAGGTTTGTTTCTATATACCATTGCTTTGTTTGCTCCTGGAAACAGAGACATAAGTGATTTACCACCTGGTTTGTAGAAATTGATAAAGAGGCTAAAAACAAAATTTAATTCGCTAAGTTTTGTTTTCTTTTAAGTTAAAGCGTATTTCTATTGATCTTGTGCTAGCCCATGGATCGAGATAAAAAGGGAAGGGTTGAGATCTAACTTAAAACAAAAGTGTATGCATGTGCCCCTGTCAGGTCTGAACCTCATTCGTGGTTCTCTTATGAGATTTTGGGTGTATGCCAATTAGACAGCAACCAAACCTTAACCTCTGTTTGATTTATTCACACCTGTCACTTTTTTTTTATATTTTTTATTTCTTTATATTTTAAAATCAACGGCTGCTGAAAAACCTAGTATACAAACGGTAGTTTCCATTTTAATAAAACTAAATATAAAGACGCCATATGATATAAGGATAAATATTTTGATAAATTATATTATTCTACAAATAAACTAGTGTAGAAACCTTCTTTGTGAATTAATTTTAAAGTGTACACACTTTGAAAGCAGAGTTGATAAGCAGCTATTATTAAATGACTGAACTAAAACAAATTTTAAGAATGAATTATTTAAAACAAAGTCTGCTTACCTAGTTATTCTAAACTACTTCGTTTAGTTACAACAATTACTGTTTTAGTAAGATGTAAAAGTCTTTTTGATCAGGATGATTTGTCTAACCTGGTGCTAAATGTTATGTATATATTGGATCAAATATTATGTATAAATGTCAATATACTTGTCTGTGATTGTGTACACTGATGTACAGATTCTCATATCATATATATCGTGTTGAGCATGAACTTTTGTAGATATAGAAATTTTATCTTTGAACAAAGTGTGCATTTCTAAATGTTACTTTTGGTTTATCGACCATATTTTATATTTCCATCTTTCATACTGCTTGTTTGATTTTCGCCTAATAAAGGGTGATATCTGTTTCATAAATGTCTCGATGTGTTGCCTGCATAGCTAATAGTTTGTTAGGGATCATTGTGTGCCTTCAGTTAGGGATCTTTGTATGCCTTCACATGTTTCTCTGTGATTATACATTTCACATGTATAAGTGTTATCTACAACACAATACCACTGTGTCCATAATGTTTTACTTTTTTGATCAGAATTACTTATAGATTTGCAAGAAATCTTATCACTATACAGAAACAGTCGGATAAGTAAAGGATTTAACCCTGGAAGATCGGTATTGCAGGTTACAAAAGCAAAGACATAAAGAAAAAAAACACTAAACAATAGCCAATCAATGAAAGCAAATTTAAAGCACTTCTAATTTAATTTATAATATTGAAATCATGCACTAATATTGCCAGCTAAATTTACACAGTCACGTCGTGAACAGTACTGAAATACGATCGTGTGTAGTGCGAAGCTAATTTGTCTACAGAATTTCAATTCAGCATAAAAAAAACAGACTATAACGTATAAGTCGGTTCGAAAAATGTCGCTATAAAATCTATATAATCCCACCCAACCTCTCTAAACCACCACTAAAAAAAAGGAAAAAGAACAGGATTCGATGATGTTAAGACAGCGGTTGATTAATAACATATAAAAAATGAAAGATTGTAATCCAATTCGTTTAGAACGACAATTTTCATTGGACGTTGTCAAATATTTTCAAGGGTTATAGTCAACGTTCTACCAGTCCGTAACTAAGGAGAGCCACCTTTTTGAATTCAGAATTTTTTAGTATGTAATTTCTCAAAAAATAAACAAAAAGTCACATTTTGTGCCTCAAAATCTTCTTTCAATCAATATTTAAAGCATCCAGAAGCGTACGAAAACCATAAATACGTTTAGTGTTTATGTTTGGCATCGGTAGTATACCTATGACGTCACATTGTTTAAATGCCAAAGACGATGTAACTTTCCGGACTTTTTCATTAATGGTATTTTAAAGCCAAAATACTTACTAAAATGGAATTTATTTTAATATTAATTATTTAATGAGAGAACATCATCTATATAGCGGAAAGTAAAGTTAAAGGATACTGCTAACTTCTTTTCTTTCTTCCTAAGAAGTTCCTGTATGAAGTCAGCCTCATATGAATAAAGGAACAAGTCGGCAAGAAGAGGGGCACAGTTAGTTCCCATGGGAATGCCGATTGTTTGTTGAAAAACACATCCTCCAAACGTAACAAATATGTTGACAATCAAGAAATCAAGCATCTCGATAATGTCAGTTTCAGAGAATTCTTTGTTTGAATCAGAGTGATGTTTTACAAAGTAGGATTTATCCCTCCCTAAGACATAATTAAGATTATAACACAATGTTGACTGCTGCCCAATTTTTGACATTTTTACCTATTATGTCTGTTTGTTTTGCTCACACACTGTTTTCAATAAAATGGAATTCTATGTGACTGTAATATAAGTGAGAGGTTTAGAGAGCTATAAAACCAGGTTTAATCTACCATTTTCTACATAAGGAAATGCATGTACCAAGTCAGGAATATGTCAGTTGTTTTACATTCGTTTGAACTGTTGTTGAACTTTTGATTTTGCCATTTGATAAAGGACTTTCCGTTTTGAATTTTCCTTGGAGTTCGGTATTTTTGTTATTTTCTTTTTTAAACGTTGAGTCATCAAGTCAATGAGAACTGATTACATTGCTATAAGAATGGAAAAGTAAGTCTGCAATTGAATATCAATCATTTGCTGTATACGTCATCTCCAAAATGAACAAAAATAATTATTACTACACAAACTACTTATTACTGCAACAATAAACTGTCTTAAACTGTAGGCGACACCTATTTAGTCTCTCTCATTTCACAAATTAACTAAAACAATAAATCTGTCGCCATAATCTGATAACATGACATGCTGCTACTGTTGGTATTATGCTTTCAATACGAAACGCGCGTCTGACGTATCAAATTATAAGCCTGGTACCTTTGATAACTATTTACACCACTGGGTCGATGCCACTGCTGGTGAACGTATCGTCCCCGAGGGTATCACCAGCCCATGAATATCAATTATATGGTCATTTTTATAAATTTACTGTTTGCAAAAGTATGAATTATTCGAAATACAAAGGATTTTCTTATCCCAGGCTTAGATTACTTTAGCAGTATTTGGCACAAAGTTGGGTCCTCAATGCTCTACAACTTTGTACTTATTTTGGCTTTCTAACTATTTTGATCTGAGCGTCACTGATGAGTCTTATGAAGACGAAACGCGAGTCTGGCGTATCAAATTATAAGCCTGGTACCTTTGATAACTATTTACTTGTCAATCCAATTTTTGGTATTTTGTGGAGTTGTAATACTTTAAAAGGAGTTATTACGTCTACAGTAGTTGTAGATATGTATGTACGTAGATCCCTCCGTTTACGGAGCACCCCTCGAGAGCTGCGAGGGTACAGTGGAATCCGTGTACACTCCCTATCGGGATTTATAGAGATGTGTCACTAACGTATTTACAATGTTCAATATTTACAAGGACAATCCCCACCCCAACACCAGGGAGTGTTAGGACACCGGGCGTATCTGTTATTATGGTGGAGGAAGCCGAAGTACTCGGAGAGAACCACCGGGCTGCTCGGTGGGAACAGACAAACCGAAGAGATATCAGCAGATTGATCTCCAGGTCAAAGTCGGGAGCAACTTTGACCAACCGAGGCCCCCATAGTACCCATTCTAGTTTAAACTCCGGTCTGGGTACCAGAGATGTGTGTGAGAGGGTGAAAATCACCCTTCTGATGTACTGATATTTTTAGCACCCCGAGTGAGAATCGAACTCGGGACCTTCAGCACTGTAGCCATCGGTCTTAACCACTAGACCACGAACTCACATATACTCTGGGGTATAGAAAGAACATTTTATCAGATAGGTAAAATAAATGGTGGACAGCATTTATGATACTGTCGTGTAAAGAGTAAAGAATTCATTACAATCAATGGCGACAAGCTTGGCCCTGATTAACTCAATGTATTTAAGACGTCATAAAGAATTTTTGATACTCCATAAACAGAAAAACCTTTTATTAACATTATGCATTGTAACAATTTGATACTGAACCTACAGTTTAAAAACAAGACAAAATTTCAGTAATCTCTATATGTAACAATCGTAAGGTTTTCTGCTTGTAGGTATTGTAGAATGTTAGCTGTCAGTCACAATAAGAACTTTTTGGGCGACTGAACGCATGCGAAAGATCTAAATAACATGTTGTGTCAAGTAGCTGTCTTTTTTAATGTAATACCCTAAAATCAGATAATTTCGTTCATCTGATCGTTCACATAACATATGGTTTGAGGTCAAGTTACGGTCATAGACTTTTAAAATAAGAATTGCACACAACTTCGGTATATTAAATTTTAATAAAAATTGGAAACATTCATCTCTTATTTTCTAAATTCTTTCAAAATAATTGTATATTTGTATAAAAGGCACGTATTATTGTCTTAAATCATCAAATCTCCGAAATCAATACATAGATTTTTCTTAAAGTTTATATGCTATTGATGGAAAATTGTTTTCCCTTCTAATTCCTTATAGTTAACTTATCAGAAGAAGACATTATAACTTCTGGTCAAACTTACAAGCGTTTTGTCATACATTATGTTTGTTGGTCTTTTTCTTATTTAGCCATGGCGTTGTCAGTTTATTTTCGACTTATGAGTTTGACTGCCCCTTTGGTATCTTTCGCTTCTCTTTTATGACGTCGTTTATAAGTCCGGGTCAAAGTAAAGGCCTTTTATGTATACGCGATATCACAAAGCCGATAAGCTATGAAGCTTGATAAAGGCACAGACTGAAACAAAATTTTAAGATATTGGAGCGTCTTTCCTTCCGTTATTTTCTCTCCTTGGAGGTAACATTTTCTTGACATGTGAAGTAGTAACAACATTAACCGGTACCAATTTTTCTGCACCAGATGTGCATTTCGACAATAAATGTCTCGTCAGTGATCATCAAGGCCAAAATATTTAAAAATCAAAAAACTTATTATAAAAATGAAGAGCTTATAAACCAAAAAGTACAAAAAGTATAGCCAAAGCAGGGAAAGGAATCAGAGCTTTGCGTGAGGGAGATATATTCGTTAATTCAAATTAAATTTCCAAAATATTGTAACATCAAATTTTGATAACACAATATCCGCATTTTCATGCCAGTACCGATGTACTGGATACTGGGCTGGTGATACCCTCGAGGACTAACAGTCCACCAGCAGAGTTATCTACCCAGTGGTTGTAATATATTAACGGTACCAATGTGTATGCACCAGAGGCGCGTTTCGACAATAAATGTCTCTGAAGTGGTGCTCGATTCATTAAGTATAGCTATTTTTTAACGGTCTAATCTATATAAAAAACGAGAAATGAACCACATCAACAAACAACAACCACTGAACATCAGGTTCCTGATAAGGTAAGACTTTTTACAACAGGAATAAAAATATAAAAAAAAAGATATAGTCTAGAGTAGACCTTTGGTTATTCATTACTCGAGTAAAGAGTCACTTGAAACGATTCATTGTATTAGCTAGGGTTATCTCGCTAGCTTCGGTTAACTGAAATAACCTTTCTCCTTTATATGAATCGGTATCATTTGATAAACTACTTTTACCAGTAAAAGGGCATAGTGTTACACAGTTGAGCCAATCTTCGTAATCACTGGAAACAATTGCGAAATATTTATAAAACAGTTTATCAGTTCTTAATTTGTCTGTTCTGTCAGTTAAATGTAGACAAGACAAACAGATTTTTAAATGTATACAACTTTTTTAAATAAATATAAATAAGTTATCGTTTCGGCTGTTTATCAGTGTGTCGTTTAAAATAGCCAGTCTTTCGCTAACGCATATTCCAAGACACCCTTTACCTTTCCAATTGAATTACATCTTCTGATCGTCAAGTTTGGTTGGTCTTGAATTCGTTTTCCAAAAAAGGTTTTAGCAAGTCCTATCAAATCAACATGGTTTCTTATTTTTTTAGATAAGACTCTATTTACTTCCAAGATTTTAATATAAAACCGCGAATGTCTAGAAAAATACGTTTATTTGCACCGCCACGCTTATGTCTACCCCCTTGTTTTAAGGGAGTATTTTTTGTTGTCAAGTGTTAAACCTGATGAACCTGATGAGCAAGCTTTTAATTCAAACATTTAGATAATACTTACTGTAATTCTTTCCCATTTTACCGAGAGGAGATGGCATCTGACATACTTACCATTAGTACATCCTGACTCACCGCGAAACCATCAGAGTACATCTTTTTGTTTTCAGTAGTTGTAAAGATGTCAATTACTATACCTGATCTGTGTGTCCGGCCTTATATCCTATGTTCTCCAATGCTACCTGTTTATGCGGTCTCGGAGTATACTGGGCAAACCTTATACTTATCTGTATAGTTGTTTCCTTCTCTTCGCTTGTATCATGCGTTGCTTTCGTTTTACTTAGATAAATCTCATTTTGCTTCTGGATCAGTTCAACACTATCTGCTTATATATTGGAAAATTTGGCATTGAGGTGCCTATAGTTCAAGTACTCGTGAAACGTTTTGTGTTCGTATCGGCCGACAAAGCAGCCAACAATGTGGTAGTTGTATGACGTAAATACTACACGAAGTTCTTAAGAATGAATTCATAAATTCGTCCACATTCCAGGCCGTGCGTTCCACAAAGATTCAAAAAGTAAATAATCATGTCATGACCACATCTCAGCTTAAGGCCTCCTCTGAATATTTGAAGGGTCCTACTATGTATTGCCTGCCTAAACACACATAAAAAAAACACTTCAAATATCGTTTCATCTCGGCTTCTAGTAAGTCTTCTACGACTAATCTGTCTGTGCTGTTGACTTGTTCCATTACTTCTATTCAAGAACGTGTTAATATTTTTTGTACTAAAGCATATGATTATTTTTCGGGTGTCAAAAAAGTCTTTGTGTGTTTTGGATGATTCATTCAATTCGGTTGACAGTTAGGACTTTTCGACTCTGTACACTACACTTCCATACAATCTTATCAAACACGATTCTCTTTTTTAACTAGATGGTCCTTTGAAAAATCGGATTGCAAATTTATTTGCTGCAACTCATATTAAGCCTTTTCCTGTAATGAAAAAGGTAAATATCCTAGATATTTATATTTACTGGTGCTGAAATGAGATAATCAAAGCTGTATTCTGTTTGACAATATCTATGTACGTTTCTAAAATAAAGTTTATGGACAGGTTGTATGCATTCCTGTGGGCACCAATTGCGCTCCTTTAATAGCAGTCTTGTTCCTGTGTTGTTATGAAACACAGTGTACGGCTATATCCGTCTAAATTACATTTAATTGATAAATTCAAAAACCCTTACCGTTACCTTGATAATTTTTTGATTTAAATAATCAAGAATTTTCTTATTTTACTAGCACCTTCTTTCAGTGTGTATATTTCACAACTTGTTCGCTATAACCGTGTTTGTCGTTGCGTTTTAGATTTCAATGAACATAATTTATGTATAACTGATAAATTATTAAGTCAGGGATTTCGTTATCACAAATGAATTAAAACTTTTACTGAATTCTTCAAAAGATCGGTATCGGTACTTACATTGATTTTCGGTGCTTTCTATCTATTGTTTAATTCTAGTTGGTGTATTTGTCCTTCGATTAATTGAGTTAAGCCATCTGCAACTGGTTTTTACAGTTTGTTCTAATGTTGTGCTAGCTGTAACTCCACTTATTTGTTTTTCGTAAATTGTATAAATTAGGCCTTTAGTTTTTTCGATTTAATTTTCGACTATACAGTATGGAGTTTTCTTATTGTTGAAGGCCGTACGGTGACCTATAATTGCTTATATCTTCATGTTATTTAAACTTCGGTGGGTAGTTGTCTCATTGGCGATCATACCACATTTCCTTTTTATAGTATAGCGCCATTTGCAATTATCACACCCATATGTCATTATCAATATAATGTTCATTGTTTGCTGTACCTTCTGTACATCTTGTGCGTTATCTATATTGCCGTTTCTATCGAGGAAGACGAAAGGCAAGAAATAACAGTTTTACCGTTTTGGATGTGATATTTTCAGCTGATTGTGATACGTAAATTCATCTGGTGACCCAAGCAGTTTTGCAGGAATGGAAATTTATCTAACACAAAGCAATCTTTCGTAGTGTCCTAAATGATGGAACTTCCAGCAATCACTGTGCCTTTACGTGTTGCTTTAACCGTGTCATGATTATAGATTATGTGTACATCCCTCTCGCGATTTGGTGTGACCTCATTATCATTTATATTTTGTTTTGTTAATGGAAAGATAAGTTATGATAAGCCCACTTTTTTGTTTGCCCCTTGAATTAAAAAACCCCAAAACACTTCCATTAGATGTTTACAAAACATAAGTCTTTCAGATATAAGTATTCTTTTTTGTGTGTGCTACCTTCAAACTTCTTGAATTCAAGATAAAACTGCAAATATGGAAAACATACCTTTGAGATTGTGTCATTCGTTTTTAGATATAAGCTATAGCATTCCCCAAAAATATATTTTGCAACAAGATGTCGTATACAAATATGTTAAAGTTATATGTCACAAAAAACTATGTGTAAAATTGCAATTTTGTGTCAACATCATAGTAACAGCATAACTGAAATTTTATCACTGAAGGGTCAAGATAAAATCATACATTCATTTATGAAAAAAACTAACATAATTTTGAAAGGATTGTAGAATTTAAGTATAATAGTATGTCAGGTACCTGATAATCATACCTCATACAAAAACGGTGTATTACAACTTGAGATATAATTTACCATCTAATAAAGATTGGATTTTGAATTTGTATAAAGGTGAAATTCATATTATAAAAGACACAAATATAATGCTGGTAACAAATTTATTCAATAAACAAAAACAATAAAAATGGTTTACCACCATTTTATGTGAAAGACTACAAGAAATACTTGATTTGAATGTAATATTCTCTAATATATAGTTAAAGTCACAAGGAAGTCACTTTTGATACCTTCATAATAATGTCAACAGTGCTCTGTTAACGTATGTTCAATCAAGGTTACTTTGGAGTAAAATAGCATTTTCGGAAACAAAGAGTTGTATATATAGCATTCTAGCTTTCATATATGACAACACCACACGTAATAATCCGATAATGCATAATAAATGCCAAAAACAATACATTTATTTACCATTTCGTGGAAATATCATGAAGGTATTTTAATCTACTTATCAACACATTATGTTGTTTTTTACAGTTATCGGCATTGCAATAAAAAATGTTTTTTTTAAATGTCTGAATTATTTAGGTATGATAGGATTGTCTGATGCATATTTGAATTTTATCCAATCCTCTTCGTTAATGAACAACATTGATTCTCTCGGAATTCCTGGACTATCTTGGTCACGGAACCATTTATTTCCGGAAGGTAAGTAGTAACCTGATCCTGTCCAACGGCGACTCCACGCTGAAGACTGTGATGGTAGTAAGGTCGGAACAGGTACACCAGTATATTGTGTTGGAACACCAGACATAGATATACCTGCAAAAACAAACTCAGTATTAGAAAATATCAATTCATTTTTTTTTTATTTTCATTTATTTATATTTCATTTATAGTTAAATCTCGAGTGTTAATAACATATTTTCTATATTAATAAGATAAATCGACCAGGAAGTGCGCAATAGAGTTAATTTTACATTAATATTACATTTTTTGAAAACCACGGCACTTTATAGAAAGACATAATATTTTAAGTAGTTGATTACTTCTAAAATAAATACTTCTACGAATTCAAATATAGGGTACGTTTTTATCTATTCATGAGGGTCTGGATGGGGTACTTCCATTTCTGTATTCTTTATTTTTTTAGGCCATATTTCTCTATTCTTTATACTTTTTGCCCATTATTCTCTATTCTTTCTATTTTAGCACCTCATTATTCTCTATTCTTTATTTTTAGGTCCATTTTTCTCTACTCTTTATATTTTTGCCTATTATTCTCTATTCTGTAAACACCATCATTCATTATGTCATACCCGATGGTGGATGTTCGGAATCCCTTTTCCTTTGGAATGTCACCCAATCATCTTCAGACTCAAACAAAATAGCATCTCTCTTGGTTTCACGTGGTAATGATCTGTATTCGTGAAATGCCATCCATCTGTTCTCAGATGGAACATAGTATCCAGGACCTCTATAGGCATGCGACTTTCCCGTTCCACTAAGATAGTTGTAAAATGGAATAGCGTTGTATGGTCCTCGCTCTCTAATGTTTGTACCTCCACTTGTACCGAATTCTGCTCTATACATTGTTCAGCTATAAAACAAATAATACAGCAAACTGTAGAATATACCTTTCAACGTAAACTGTTAAAAAATGTAAAAACTAAAATTATTTGAATAAGCGAATTAACTGAAATGTGACATTTTGACATTTTAAGGGAGCCTAGGATTTTCGCCGTTGTGGGAAGTTGTTTTACACCTTTCCTCCGCTTTATTTTGAATATAGTTTGAAAGATGTTTCAAATCATGTGTTTTGAAGCTTTGTGTCATTATATCAACAATGCAATGGAACACATCAGGGCTTGATTTCGTGTTAACATTTATTTATTATTATTCAACTATTCATAACATGACTGTTCAGATGAAGAATAGCAATTTCAGCGCCGTTACTTTATATAAAGACAATCTACTAGTATTACATGGGATGTTTGTGTCATGTACAAACGCCACACATATACATCGTTCCACTTCTTCGACGATCAATTTCATGTTAAATGTAAGCTATACACAAATTCTGTCAGGATATTTAAACTCTATGTAATGTGATATCCTTTGCGATAATAAGGCTTTTAAGAACACTAAGCCTTCTATCGAATTTTCACAATCAGGGGAGATATGTGTGTGATAATGCTCACATATTGTTAATTGTTTTTTACCTTTTCAAAATCTAAACGTTTATATATGATGTTCGTTCCTTTCCGGTCAAAACAGTTATATCTCTCTATGATCGCCGGATGTTGACAGTGTTGGTTACTAATGTACACTTAATAACGACACCTGGTGATAACGGTTACCTTTACCTGGTCAGGTAAGTTTATAATATAGTAAGGAGACGTTCGTCTAAACATATATATTTATTAAAAAATGTAGAATGATATTATTATCACATGGTTTAAATCATATTTCAAAGAGGCTGTAGGCCAAATGATGTAAGAGCATGACTGATCAACAAGCTGAACAAGTATTTTAAAAACGATGCAATAACAAAGGGAAATAATTCAGATTTGAATCTAATTATAAAATGACGGCATATGATTGATTGGTTATTTAATTGTTTGTGTTTAACGCCACTTTAAGTATATTTTCACTTTTTCACGGCGGTCAAATTTTATTGATGGAGCAAGCCGGGGTTCCCGTAGAGACCAGCAGACCTTCGACAGGATTGCTCATTTTTTAAAATATGATGCAGGCATTTTTGGAATTTAGGCATTTTGTAAAATGTCTGGATTTTCAGCCAATTTATAAAATGCCTAACCTAGACAGACATTATATAAAATAACTTTAAACACCTATATTTTGTTAAATGACTGAAAATTTTAAACAAAATTCAACAAATTGTTTTTACAGTTTCCTATAAGTTGTAGAAATTTTATATCGCTGAGATACTTGACCAAAAGCACAATATCTAAGATATTCTTGCAAAGCCCCCAAATAAGTTATTCTTCGGTAAAATTAGGTTTATTTTTTGAAATACCAACAGGAACGTTTTCATGTCTATAATTAGCACTTCACAGTTCAACTAAGTTCTCTCTCTGTATTTCAGAGATTTTCTTTTCATGACTTCAAAAGGCAAATTGTTCTCTCAAAAGAGCAAAGGATTTCATAGTAAATATAGATCTAAAATAGCAGGAGTATCATTATATGGATCTGAGATAAATATGAAAATAGTTCACAAATTGTTGCAAGGACACATCTCCTTTCCTGTAGTTTTGCCAATCATTTCCATTAACTCCTCGCTTCGAGTGAGGGGGGTCGTAGATTCAACACCTAGCCGGGATTCAAACTACGGGATTCTCAAGTTGAAAATGATCAGTGCTATACTCCACTAAGCATGTAGCATTTTATGAGCAAGATCAAGGACTGCATGGGCAACGATGTATCAGTCTTGTCTAAATATATTCCTGGGTCAGAACTGTTACCGTGTAAACTGCACAATCAGGTCAGCTCGGTCTATTACAAATCAATGGTAATGATGCATATACATTAAGGTGAATATGTTTGACAGATAAGCTCTTGGGCTTGTAAAATGCTTCCACTCATTTAATACTGACATCAAATTATACAGAGAGTCCTTAACTCGAGATACCAAACGTGATACTATTGACATGCAGTCTAAGGACCAGTGGGTTGACTTCATGAGGAACAGAGATACACCTGATTGTACTGTTATATGTGAACCGAATCAAAATAAAACTTTCGTATTCGTATTCAGATATGTTATCAGTGTTATTTATGATAAGCTTTTTTTATTTCTTTTAACTTGACATCTAAATTGATATTCTTTAGTTAAGGCAATTAACGGCCTCCTACGAAGTAATTTCTTTCTATAGAATAAGAAAAAGTATGTTGGTAGTATAATTTTGTTAGGAGAAAAGGACAATCATTTCACTGCCACTGTTAAGCATCTCACAAAAATGTCACTTAATTGCTATTAAAGTTGATTTGTTGTTTCCTTTGATAACAAAGTAATTAGCTTGATTGAAGAAGAAAAAACTGTTCTAAAGATGTATTAATCTGATTTACATGGAAAGCAAATTGTGGTCACCTTTAAGAATAATGTTCATTAAACAAGACAAAGATTTCTATAAAACTTGAAAATCTATACTTATCACATGAGGGTGGTCGACATGTATGTTAAAACTTGAAAATCTATACTAATCACATGAGGGTGGTCGACATGTACATGTATGTTAAAACTTGAATATCTATACTTATCACACGAGGGTGGTCGACATGTATGTTAAAACTTGAAAATCTATACTTATCACACGAGGGTGGTCGACATGTATGTTAAAACTTGAAAATCTATACTAATCACATGAGGGTGGTCGACATGTATGTTAAAACTTGAATATCTATACTTATCACACGAGGGTGGTCGACATGTATGTTAAAACTTGAAAATCTATACTAATCACATGAGGGTGGTCGACATGTACATGTATGTTAAAACTTGAATATCTATACTTATCACACGAGGGTGGTCGACATGTATGTTAAAACTTGAAAATCTATACTTATCACATTAGGGTGGTCGACATGTATGTTAAAACTTGAAAATATATACTTATCAAACGAGGATGGTCGACATGTATGTTAAAACTTTATAGAGATGATAAGTTTATTAACCTATTCAGCATTATAGTTGAAGATTCAAACCGTCATCAAATATGGATACTATCGTTAATAATATGTAAATAGACAATATAATCTACGAATCTTAACCGAATGATGCCGAGATGGTTCATTAAAACCTTTTCTTTCACAAGTATTGTGGATGGCACCGATTTGTTATTGCTGTTAAATTTGTTTTTGTCTTATTGATATAGACTTGTAACTTTGATATAAACAGTTACATATCAAATATTCTTCTTCAGATAATAAAGATGCATCGTAAAGAATTTGGTACTAGTGGTGGTGTGAATTTGTTTGAACGTGGACCTCACAACCCGATACCTACCCACAACTATTTAAGCGGCGATGGAAAGTCTAACATCTACATGGGAGCTTCTCATTATGTTCCATCAGAAAGAGATTGGATTAAATACCATCAATATAGGTCCTTACCTCGAGATACCAAACGTGATGCCATTGACATGCAGTCTGAGGACCAGTGGGTTGACTTCATGAGGAACAGAGATACACCTGGTGGTATGGATTGTTTCTTAGGATTTCATAGAAATCAGCTTAGTATACCTTCTTTCTTCTATAAAGTCGTATGTACTGTAAAAAATATGAGTTGTGAATGTGACCCAATATATTACATTTTTTTTTTCAATCCTGGCTAATGAAAACAATCTGAAGGTATAATAAATTTCGTATTTTCAATAAATAGTTAAAATTTGATCATTTAGATCGAAATATTTTCAATATGTTTTATTGTTACCAAACTTTCCAGGTAAAATCATGCTTGTATTGTTTCTTGATTTCAGCGTATTACCACAAGGAAGTAAGTTTAAAACAGAATGGCATTCCAGAACTCAGACTAGGTGGATACACTAGGAATTTACCCACAATGCCACCGAAAGATGTCTTTCAAGATCCCTGGCCTAAGTCCGATGCCTGGGCGCCGCCACAGAGAGCAGGACGAGGAGATTACTATGGTTATTATCACGAGGCAATAGAGGCTGAAAGAGAAAGAAGGAAGAAAGAACTTCCAGAAAGCATGCGTATCGAACCCAGAGACATCCCAAAGTTGTGATTGTATCATATTTCTTTGTTTGTTTTGCAATTCGTTGACTGTTAAAACTGCTTGTTTGTACTTTAGAATATACAGTATTATAATTTGTTAATGTTAATACATGGCAAAATCGTTGTTTATTTATTAAGTTCATGCATCAAGAATGACGTCAAGTTTTATATATTGAAATGTGCACTGATATTTATTTATTTATTTCAATTTTGTGGAAATTTATGAAGTCAAAGAGTATTACTTTCCTTCCAGCATAGCAATTATCAATAAGATTTGTTTACTCATCGAAACTATTAAAGGTTTGTGTTCTCAAGCAAAAAATTAATGACTAATAATTCAAAATGGGTGCTGAAATAAAGTGTTTCGTTTGAAATAGAACATGCATTGGGGAATTTTTTAATCCTTTGCATTACACCGACGCAAAATAGGATTTATGGTTAAGAAATCACTCGACCTTTGAACTTTACGTGTTTTAGTGTAGGTTTAATTGTTTGCAATGAGACGCTTACTCTATTGTTTGTCGTAGACAATTGTGCACATCCTTCATTATATGAATTAAATCAACAGTTGGTTGATAATATATAGCTTTTTGCTATACAAGAGATTTTGAAACGAGAAACTTTGTGAATCAGATTTATGCATATCACAAACAACTTCGAGGACTGTGCTACACATTCAATGTAGCACATGATCATGATATGTCAAAATAAAAAGTAAACTTTTCATTCAACATACTAAAACTAGACCCCAGGCACCCGTATTCATCGAAAATGCGTTTATAAAAAAATATACAAAACACAAACTATGATGAAAAATGAACGCAGGATTTGTAGTCCATGATTTGAACTTTTTTTTAAGTTTTGTTTAATACTTAAGTCATAGATTAGTTCTGTTGACTTTGAATCTGTTATACGATAGAAAAAAAACTCTACCGTGCATTAGACTACATAACAAGCAAAACAAGCAAACAGATACTTTATTTTCCTCAGACACAAACGTGTACAAGAGGACAAACAGGAGCATACATATATGGTTGCAGAACAGTTTTCAGTGAAATAACCGGACAGATATAGCTGCTTACTATTTATATAAAATATATAAACCGACATGCCCTAGCTTCAACTCTTAAGTATGGCATATGTGTAGAATTGAGACGTTATTCTGTGTAGAATTTAATTTCAGTGTTAACGTGACAGCAACCAAACATTTAGATAAATATTAGTTTCCCTCAAAACCACATGCACCGGATGGAATCGAATAAGTGACAACTTCCTATGCGGAAGTAAAAAGATGGACATTTATATTCTTTTCAGTTGGTCGTATTTGTCCGTTCTTCACTCCCGAGTAGCTTGGCGAACGTCAGTATTGGTACATTACTTGAAATAAGTTTACTTCCAGTTTAATCAGGGTTGTGCTACTCATTATTCTTTAAATTTGTTCTTGGGGATTTTTTATATTCTTCACCCACAAGTTCGTATTCTTACAAACTATTTAGTGGCTAATATTCCAATCATATTCAAAACGAGAACACATTAAACAATATATCAAAGTTGGTTTTACTGTCAAT